TCTATGAGGTGGATTGATTCAGTGACTGGGGTAATCAGGATGGGTGTATCCGAGACGGTGCGATTGACATAGGACAGAGCAGAGTTTAGGGCTGTTGTACATAGGGTCACTATGAGTCACAAGTGACTCAACGGCATATAACAACAACAACATAGCGGGGTGGCCTTTGGATTAAGAGTGAAACGTGCTACTAACAAGGCCACTGCAACTCAAACTCATTGTCATTGAGTTGGAAACTTCCAGAAGGTTTTTAAGAGGCTGTATATCACAGGAAAGGAGGTTGCCTGTCTTTGTCCTGTGGAGCCACTGGTGGATTTAAATCATTGGACAGATGCCTGCGTCTTATCGACTATGCCCCAGAGCTTCCCCAAATAAAGGCAAATGAAGGAAAGATACCCATGTTTTACAGATAAAACCAAAGCTGAGAGGATTTAAGTAATCTGCTTAAGTAGCACACCGAGAGTGATAGAGCATAGATTTAAATTTAGGTCTGTATTCAGATGCTGTGAAACTCTGGTGACCTAGTGGTAAGGAGTTGCACTGCCAACCCCAAGGCAGGCAGTTTGAATCTACCAGCTGCTTCGTAGGAAAAAGAGAAACAGTCTCTTCCTGTGCAATTGACAGCCTTTGAAAACCTGCTGGAAAGTCATCTGTGAGTCGGTTCCAACTTGACAGCACATAATAACTTCTGCCTACTGTAAGGAGCCCTGGTTGCCTAGTGGTTACATATTTTAATAGTAACTAACAGATCGGCAGTTCAAACCCCCAGCCACCCCGGGTGGCAGTCTGCTTTCTAAAGATTATAGTTTTGGAAATGCTGCTGGGTTTCTGTCTGATAGAGTTGCTAGGACAGAATTAACTGAACAGCTGCAGATTTGAGTTTTGGGGCTTCTTTCAGTGTGGTGTAAGGGGGCATATTTCATTTGTACAGTGCCTGTTTTAGGATTAGCTCAGTTAGATTGGATTCCTACCTTTTTCTGCTTCCACTCAGTGCCAGATCATGTGGGAGTGGACAGAAACACCCCTGAGTTCCTTCCCTCTCTGCTCTTGTTGTCCCGTGTGGCTTCCCATGAGTCGCTCTTCTTTGGGTCTCATATTCTTTGTCTCTCCCCTTCCTGCCAGGGTCTCCATCTCACTACCCTGGAGCATCGTCCTGAGGGTAAGGAAAGGGGGGCTCCACAATGGCTGAGGAGAAGAAGCTGAAGCTCAGCAATACTGTGCTGCCCTCCGAGTCGATGAAGGTGGTGGCCGAATCCATGGGCATCGCTCAGATTCAGGAGGAGACCTGCCAGCTGCTCACCGATGAAGTCAGCTACCGCATCAAGGAAATTGCACAGGTGACCTAGCCCCTCCACCCAGCGCACTGCGGAGGAGGTGGCCCCCTCCGTCTGCGGAGGAGGTGGCCCCCTCCGTCCGCAGCGTCTTGGGCTGATGTCTGTTCTCCCTTGGTCCCAGGATGCCTTAAAGTTCATGCACATGGGGAAACGGCAGAAGCTCACCACCAGTGACATTGACTACGCACTGAAACTAAAGAACGTCGAGGTGACCGGGATATATGTGGGGGAGCAGGGAGAGACTCCGTCCTTCCGGACCTTGTGTGTGCGCCCACGGCTTCCTTCTCATCTCAATGTCTTGTCTTCCTCTGATACAGCCACTCTATGGCTTCCACGCCCAAGAGTTCATTCCTTTTCGCTTCGCCTCTGGTGGAGGCCGAGAGCTCTACTTCTACGAGGAGAAGGAGGTTGATCTGAGTGACATCATCAATACCCCTCTGCCACGGGTGCCCCTGGATGTCTGCCTCAAAGGTTGGGGGTGGGGAAGGCAGGGTGGTAGGGAAGAGGGAAAGGAGGAACAATGTGTGTGTATAGATGATACAGATATATAAATATAGATGATATAGATGGGTTTGAGGAAACTCCCGGGTACCAATCCCCTGAGATCTCTGGTGAGCTGTACAAAAGGGGAGCAAGAACTAAAATACATTCCTTAGTGTGGGGTACTGGGGGTTTGTGTGTCAAGAGACAATTGCTATGAGTTGTAGGCCACTTGATGGCACCTAACAGCATGGAGTGACAACCCAGTGTCCCTCTAAAAGCAGTTCAACTTTACACCTTCCTTGCAGCTCATTGGTTAAGCATTGAAGGCTGCCAGCCAGCTATACCGGAGAATCCACCTCCAGGTAATCTCTGTGCCCAGAACCCGTCACTTTGATTTTGCATCTCTTTTTCCTTCTACACATCACTCCTGCTGTGATCGCTTCTTCCAGCTCCCAAAGAGCAGCAGAAGGCTGAGGCGACAGAACCCCTGAAGTCAGCAAAGCCAGGCCAAGAAGAAGACGGGCCTTTGAAGGGCAAAGGTCAGGGGGCTGCTACGGCTGACAGCAAAGGTCAGTACTGCTAGGCTAGGCCAGGCCAGGCCTCTCCTAACTCTTGCTTCAAAGCCAAGGGGTCATATGTGAAGTGGATGAGTTAAGGGTGAGAGGTGAAACCCCAGGTCAGAGAGACCTAGAAAGGATCGAAAGCCGGGTCTCCTTGGCAGGCAGCGGTGGGGTGGGAGTGGGAGGGAGTGAGTGGAGCCTTTTTTGTCTGGTATCGAGGCCTCTTCTGGAGTTCATGTTCTAGTCTTTCCAACTCACACAGGGAAAGAGAAGAAGGCACCACCCTTGCTAGAAGGAGCCCCTTTGCGGCTGAAGCCCCGGAGCATCCACGAGTTGTCTGTTGAACAGCAGCTCTACTACAAGGAGATCACCGAAGCCTGTGTGGGGTCGTGTGAAGCCAAGAGAGCTGTGAGGACCCCTCCCCCTTGCTTTTAATCTGAGAATCTATGATTCATCCCACGGTCCCTGTTCCTACTTCACCTGCTGCCTTCCTCCCACAGGAAGCTCTGCAGAGCATCGCGACAGACCCAGGACTGTATCAGATGCTGCCACGATTCAGTACCTTCATCTCAGAGGGGGTGAGAACCGGGGAAGCCCAGGATCTGGGATGAGGTTCAGAGGGGCAGCAGGAGCAGTTCATGTGTGGGATCTCCCTGACCCATCACCTCTACCTTCCTTAGGTCCGTGTGAATGTGGTCCAGAACAACCTGGCCTTGCTCATTTATCTGATGCGTATGGTGAAGGCGCTGATGGATAACCCAACGCTGTATCTGGAAAAATACGTGAGTGGTCCTGTCACTCTGCCCACCTTCTCCCAAGGATCAGAGCTATCAGAACCCACTGACTCGCCACACCTCCCTCAGGTACATGAGCTGATCCCAGCTGTGGTAACCTGCATCGTGAGCAGACAGCTGTGCCTACGACCGGATGTGGACAATCACTGGGCCCTCCGGGACTTTGCTGCCCGCCTGGTGGCCCAGATCTGCAAACATTTCAGCACCACCACCAACAACATCCAGTCTCGGATCACCAAGACCTTCACCAAGGTGAGTGAAAACATGAAATGTCAGCCGTCCCCAGGCAGTAATGACAGAGTCACCAAAACCTGCAGTGGGTCTGGTCTGGTTGGGGGAAGTGACATCAGAAACAAGGGGCTGAAGAAACAGAACGTGAATTGAAAGTAGTTTGAAGGACTTTATACTTCTGTATAATATTAACGACTTTCTAACAGTGCTTGTGAAATACTTAAGTCCTTACATTTAGCCTTGATCTGAATTTTTTCTTTCCCCCTACAGAGCTGGGTGGATGAGAAGACTCCGTGGACAACTCGTTATGGCTCCATTGCAGGCCTCGCAGAGCTGGGACATGATGTTAGGCCCCAGGGGAAGTCCCTGGGGGAGGGGAAACAGTCATGATGTTACAAAGGACAACACCCTCCCCCCACCCCAACCTGGGAGACTGTATGGTGACCTGGTGACCCTGCCTTCTCTCCCCTTACCTTCCAACAGGTCATCAAGACTCTTATTCTGCCACGGCTCCAACAGGAGGGGGAGCGGATCCGCAGTGTCCTGGACGGCCCTGTGCTGAGCAATATCGATCGCATCGGAGCTGACCACGTGCAGACCCTTCTCCTGGTGACCAGAGCCCCCTTCCTAACCCCTTACTCCCACCTTCTCTCCCCCCCCACACACAAACACACATACTCTTCCACCTTCTTCTCTCACACACACTGTCTCTCTTCATTGTTCCCTAATGTTTCTGTGTTGTCCTCTAGCAAGATAAACACCCCATGGATCAATGGCCTCCTTAGATACTGCTTACCAGAATAGCTGCTAAATGAAAATTCATACCAGTTGGTGCCCATATTATCTTTAGAAAGAAATCCACAACATTCCTTACACATACTGACATCCCAAGATAGTTTGGCCTCTAGCAGGAATATATCAGCACTCTCTTTTTCTCTTTTCCTTGTCGCTTTCCTAGGATATCAACCCCTCTCTCCACTCAACTTTGATTTACCTTCTCTTTGCAGAAACACTGTGCCCCAGTGCTGGCTAAGCTGCGCCCACCACCTGACAATCAGGATGCCTATCGAGCAGAATTTGGCTCCCTGGGTCCCCTCCTTTGCTCCCATGTGGTCAAGGCTCGGGCCCAGGCCGCTTTGCAGGCTCAGCAGGTCAACAGGACTACCCTGACTATCACTCAGGTCAGTGACAGAGGAAGAGAGAAGGTGAAATGAAGGGAAATCTAGGAGGGACTGAGTGGTGGCTCTTGTCAGGATGGGGCTTGCACTTACAGACACCCACACTTTTTTTGAGGTCTTCAGGACACTCTGAGTTGGAGTCTTGGGGGAGTTTGGGCCCTCAAGTGAATGATACCCCAACCGTAGATAATTGTTGGTGTTGGGTGCTGTCGAGTATGACTCATAGTTACCTGTGAACAACAGCCAGGAGCCCTGCCCAGTCCTGTGCCAGCCTCGTCTCTGATACACGCAAGCCAATTGCAGCAGCCACTGTGTCTGTTCTTCTGGTCGAAGGTCTTCCTATCTTTCACTGACTCTCCACATTTCCAAGTATGGTGTCCCTCTCTAAGGAACAGCCTCTCCTAACAATATGCCGAGGGTATAGGAGATGAAACTTTGGGTAAAATTGTGAATGAACTAGGAAGCATTAAAAGAAAATATATAGAGGGAATATAGACTCACTGTTCCAAAAACAATTAACTGACACTGAAATATTTCAGGAAGTATCCTTGTTATGCATCAGAGAGTTGGACAGTGACCAAGGAGGATAGGAGAATTGATGCCTTTGAGCTGTGGTGCTGGAGAAGAGTATTGAGAATACCATGGACTGCTAGGAAAACAAAGAGATTTGTCCTGGAAAGGATTAAACTGGGTGGCTCCTTGTAGGCAAGGATTCTGAGGCTCTGTCTAACATACTTTGGACATGTTGTGAGGAGAGACCGGTCCTTAGAGAGGGACATCATGTTTGGGAGGGTGGAGGGACAGCGCAGGAGAGGAAGGCTCTCTATGAGGTGGATTGATTCAGTGACTGGGATAATTGGGATGGGAGTGTCAGAGACAGTGCGATTGGCACAGGACAGAGCGAAGTTTAGGGCTGTTGTACATAGGGTCGCTATGAGTCGCAAGTGACTCTACGGCACATAACAACAACAACAGCAATAACATCCTGTTGTTGTGTGCTTTCAAGTTGCCTGCAACTCATAGTGACCCTGTGTACCACATCCCTGAACCCTGCTCTATCCTGTGCCATCTTATTGTCTCTGACACACCCACCTTCATTTATCCCAGTCACTGAATCAAACCATCTCATCAAGGGTCTTCCTCTCTTGCACTGTCCCTCCACCCTCCCAACGCTAGAAGAGATGAAGTGCATTTAAGGTGGTTAATGGAGGGACCTCTAGTAGTTGAGTGACAAGAACCTGCACTGCAGTCCCAAAGGCAAGTGGTCCAAATCCACCAGCTGCTTTGTGGAAGAAGGATGGGCAGTTTCCTCCCATGTGATTGGGGTTTTTCCCTCCGAAAACCTACTAAAGTGGGTTCCGACGGTATACCACACTACCACCCTAGAGGAGAACTCCAAAAATCCCAGGGCTTTCCTTTTAGGGCTTTGTTTTATTGAACATTTTCTTTATGCCTCTCTCCCTACAGCCCCGGCCCACGCTGACACTCTCCCAGGCTCCTCAGCCGGGCCCTCGGACTTCTAGCTTGATAAAGATGCCTGGTTCGATTGCATTGCCTGTCCAGACGCTGGTATCTGCTCGAGCTGCTGCCCCTCCTCAGCCTTCTCCTCCACCCACCAAGTTTATTGTAATGTCCTCGTCCTCTAGTGCCTCAACTACCCAACAGGTAAGGGGAACTGTGTGGCATGATGGGATGGGGAGTGGCTCAGGTTACCTCAGAGCATCCTGGGTAGCCACAAAGTAGAACCCACTCGCTCTGGGTCTAAAAAAGAAGAGTTAAGGGACACTTTGCTGTGGGGCCACAGTTGCAGAACCTCAGCAATGCCCCTGCATTCCGCAGGGTCCCTCCGCCAGCCTCTGGGAACAGGCCCTCCTGTGCAGCAGGTTGAGAACAGTTGGCACTGTCTTGTCTTTTCCCAGGTCCTGTCTCTCAGCACGTCAGCTCCTGGCTCGGGCTCTACTACTACCTCCCCTGTCACCACCACTGTCCCCAGCGTGCAGCCCATTGTCAAGCTGGTCTCCACAGCCACAACCACACCCCCCAGCACTGCTCCCTCTGGGCCTGGCAGTGTCCAGAAGTACATTGTGGTTTCTCTTCCCTCAGCAGGGGAGGGCAAGGGAGGCCCCACCTCCCACCCTTCTCCAGTGCCTCCTGCCTCATCATCCCCCTCCCCTCTTGGGGGTAGTACCCTCTGTGGGGTAAAGCAGGAAGCTGGAGACAGTCCCCCTCCAGCCCCAGGGACTCCAAAAGCTAATGGCTCCCAGCCGCCTGGATCTGGCTCCCCTCAGCCTGCTCCTTGATCCTGTCTCTCACACACCTGCTGACCATCTTCTACACACACACACACAGAGTGGAAGAAAAGTAGTAGTTTACTTCCACTTAATTTTAATTGTACAGTTAGTTCTTCAGAATAAAAGTTTGATTTTTAAGTTCTGAGTCACTCCATCTTTCCGGATCAGACATCTCAGGAGGGCTGAGCCTGTCAAGCTTTCAGCCCTCCAGGAGTTCATCTCCAATCTTCAGGCCAGAAGACTGGAAACCAAATAGATCCTTTTCCATTTCCACTGTCCTCACTTGTGGATACTCAAATCCGAATGACATAGGCATCGCTGTGGCTTAGATGTCTCACCCACTTGTGAGGGTTGGCATTGCCACCTGGTCGGAATGCAAGCCTGAGGAAGCGAACCTGGAGGCCGGAGCACGTGTGCCGGGGAAGCTCAAAGGAGAGGCTTGCAGGGCCCAGCCCTAGTGGAGGGGCTGAGGAGGAGGGTCCGTGGCCAGGAGGCCCAGAGAGGCCTGGGACATCCATCTGTGAAAGGCAGAGGGGAGGATTGCTAAACAGGTGGAGGGAAGTCAAGAGGCCAGGAAGAGGGCAGCAGCTGCACTGGGAGGGATGAGCCAAGGGCTGAAAATGAATCCTGCAGAGAAGGTGTTAGAGAACCAGCAGATGATACCTGAAAGAGGCCTGAGAGCTGAGAGCCTCCTTGTACCCGAGGTAGGTCCCAGTGAAGAGCTCCTTCCCCCAGCTCTGCCTTCTGATCTGGGCTACTCAGCTCCTGAGACAGGCTGGAGAAGAAGAATGCTGGGTTCAGTCCCTACCTTCCTGGGGGTGGGCACTGTACTCCATAGCTCAGGCCCTTGAGGGAAACGTCTTCAGGGACACAGGCATAAGACTCCACCTCACACCTTTTGGTGAACACACACTCACCTGACCACCCCTCTGGGCAGGGGAAGGTGCAGTCTGATGTTGAGAGCTTGGCTGCAAAGAAGAATGAAGTCCCAAAAGGATGCAGTCACTTGTTCCATCCTTCTTTAACGTCACAAGTTCAGCGTAAGTGCCACCCCATTCCCTTCCCAAACTAGGAGCCTCTAAGTAAATGAGATTCCATGGCTAGTGGGCAAATGAAAAGCAGCAGGAAGTACCTTGATCCTGACTCCTATTCATGTAGCTGAAGTACGCCTGGTTAGACAACTCTTACCTCTTTGGAGGTAGATCACATCGTAACTTCAGGTATACCTGGAGCCTGGATGAAGGGTAAAGCGCCATTACAATGGTCATGGCTAACTTGTCTTCACCATTCCCCATCCAAACCTGTATGTTTGGCTGTATAACTGTGCCCCAAGCACAGAGGAGGTGCTCCAGGAACCAAGCCTCATATGCAAGGCTGAGTCCACTTGGTGAGGAGTGTTTATCATGAATGCCACCCTCCATAATAAACCTGAGGAACATACATGCATTGGCTGGCTTTGCAGAAAATTTCCAGGATGGGCGAAGGGCCTTACCTGCCTGAGCCTCGATCCCACTGCACAGAGGGAAAGAGCCGGAAGGGGAGAGGAGAAGGGAGGTCATCTGAGAGTTGGTACCGCATTACAGTCAGCTGAAAGCAGAGCGATGCAGAGGTCACTGTGGCCGCCTCACGCCTGAACTACTTCCCTTTCCCATGGAGAACCAAATATAATTGGCCGCTCTTATCCTGACCTCTCCTTGAGGAGGCTGCAAGCGAAGGATTCGATGAGACTCAAACTCGTCCAGATGCACCGAGCTGTGAAATGAGACCTCATCAACTCGGATTCCTGGCCCATAACCTGCAAAGATACAAACGTCTCTCTTGTACACCATATTTGAAGAGGGAAGGGCAGCAAATAGGGGAAGTTCTGCCCTTAATATACCCAATGCCCTGCCTTATCCCAAAATAATCCAATTTCTCTTTAAGAAATATTTGGGATCTGACTCAACAGTACATGCCACCACCACCAACACACCTTAGAACCCTGGTAGCAAAGTGGTTTAAGTGTTGGGTGACAAACCAAAAGGCTGGCTATTCAAATCCATCTGCCGCTCCATGAGAGAAACATGAGGCGGCCTTCTCTCACAGAGATTTGTAACCTCAGGAACCCCATGTGGCAATCCTACTCTGTCCCATGAGGGTCACTATCAGTTGAAATTGACTCAACAGCTATGGGCTATTTATTAGATCTGGGAGAGAAAGACCTACTCTTATCTCACCTCTCAGTTCTGACTTCCCCACACAAAATTCCTCCGTTAAGCCAATGCGCATCTCTGTCAGAAGAGAACACCCAGAAAAATAACTAACACACCTACCAAAGAGCCTGCCCCTACCCAATCCTGGGTCCAGCCTGCAGGCTTCTCACCGGAGCCACTGGGAAGGAAGCTCTTGAGTCGAATCTCTCCATGCACATCCACCTTCAACAGTGAGCCCTGGGTGTGACAAGGTTAATGCCCAGGATTCTGATTACCCCAAAATGTTTTCTGCCCCCCATCCTCAGCTCAAGGACTGGGGAATCCAAACTTACATTAGATGCTATCAGTACAGACAATCTCTCGACCACATCCAAAAAAACTTCATTCTTTTGAGTCTGAGGAAGAGAGGGCATTAGTGTGGAAGCTGTATAGCCTACGTTCTAAAATGGGTAGGCAGAAAGTACGGTGTGATCCAAGTTAGGACTCTCGGGCTGAGATATGGTAGGAAGGAAAGGGATACCCAAGTGTGGAGGGAGTGGAAAGATATGCCTGGCTCTTAGACTCTGGAATCTCACAAGACAACTGGGAGATTCTGGCACTTGATCCTGACCTCACCTGGTCAGAGCGACTGGAGAGGACAGGGCGGCTGGCTGCGCTGCTGGGAGCCACTTTGCTCTGTTGTGTCTCAGCTCCAAACTGTAAAGCACCCAAAACAATCCAGAGTTGGATACTCCTGAATAAAACTCTCCTCCTCCTTTCTCATGTTCTCCCTCCTCCTCACTGACCAGGCCAACACTGCTGAGATCAAAGAGGCTGAACGGCTTGCTGACCACGGCTTCCATCTGGATGAAGTTCCTCAGCATCTCTGTGGATGTAGTCTGTACATAGCCATAGTCCTGTTGGTAAAGAAAGGCGGGTCTTTACATGGTCAGCAGAGAAATCTACAAAGGAAGACTGTGAACTTAGGTTCCCAATATCACGATCTCATGGCAGGGAAGTCGATATATCAGAACAGGGGACAAAGGAGGGGCGGATGTCCATGGAGTTTACCAACACTTCGTCCAGCAGTTCATAGACAAGGGCCACGTTGCGGGAGATGGTCCCCTCGCCCAGGGTGCCACAGTAATCACCCAGTAAGGTGGCTAAGCTGAAGAAAGAGGAAGGAGTGGGCATCTTCTCATCCTGCTCACATCCCCAACTCCCAGTGCCCAGCGCAGCCCTCCCTCCTCACCGGGAGAGCAGCTCTAGGACGCTGAAAGGAGAAACATTTTCTGAAGTTGTGGCCACCAAGTAGAGGCCGCTGTGTCTGATGTGAATGAAATGACGGTCATCGTGGTGCTGAAGCAGGAGGAGGGGGGAAAGGGCTAGTGGTTAAGACCTAAGTTCACATCCTAGTTCCCTTCTAACAGCAATGCCATTTGGGGTACATATTTGGGGTAAAGAGGAACCTCTCTTACAACCCCAGCATCCACGGTAAGGTGTACAGAGTCCGCAGGTTAGGGACATAAACTGTGCTTCTGTGGTTATTAGCACTTAATGGACTTCGATTACTAGTACTAGAGAGAACGTGCTTCTTAACAAGAACCTCTGATAGAAACAACTGCAGGGGGGAGGAGACGCCCACCCATCCCGGCCGCCTCCACACCACGCCCCCCTCCAATCCCCACCCCGGAGGGTGGCTACCATGACAACCGGAGACTCGTCTCCTGGCAGTCCCGTCAGCTTCCGGTAGAAGAGCTCGGCCACATCCCGGCCGCCACTGTCCCCGCGTACTGACCGAGGGGAAGGAGTTAAAGCCGGCGATACAGGTTGGCTCGGGGCACTACTCCTACCCACCCAGTCCCTCCACCTTCCACCCTCGCCCCGCGGGGTCAAGGATACAGTCTTTGTAGATGAGCGGGTCCCCCTTGGAGGACAGAATGAAGAATTGGGAGATCATGGCCGTTCTGGGCAAGACGACTGTGAAACCTCGGGCCTGCCCCGCCCTGCGGCCCCGAAACAAAAGGACGCGCGTGGACTGGCCCTTTAAGAGCCGCTCGCCTCCGCCCGCGCCAACTGGGACCGCGGGAAACCGGACGCCCGCACTACCCCAGCCTACACCCCCACTTCCTCCGTGTCACTCTGCCCAGGCCGAGCCGGTGATTGGCCGGAGCGGGCGGCGGCCGAGGCCTGCAGCGGGTGGGAAGGGCAGCCGTCCGCCCTCTCCGATTGGTCCGCTCGGCGCGGCGCAGGTCACGTGGGGGGAGACGTTTCGCGCCAATTTCGGTTGCTCGGCCGCAGTCCACCGCGCGCCTCTTCTTTGCTTCTCGCGGCGCGCGTCCCCCAAGCCCGCCAACTGCTGCCTCGCGCCCCGGGGCAGCGATGGCACTAAAGGACTACGCGCTCGAGAAAGGTACGGGTGTGCAAGCCCAGGAGGGGCATTCTGTACGCGCAGCCTCCACCTGTTGATCTGGGCTGTAATGGGGGGAGAGGGGGGAGGCGGCTTTGGTCATCAGGCTCCGGGGCGCGCGAGGCCTGGGGTATGGGGGAGAGAGAGATGGCGAAGTGAAGTCACACGGCATCTGGGAGGCTCTTAAGAGCTTCAGTGTCGAAGGAGGGCGGTGAACCCTACCCAAGAAAGGGTCAGTGTCCTGGTGGGGATCGGGAGCGATAACATCCCTGGAAGTTGAGCGAGATCAGCCCCTTAGGTGGCCTTGTTTGAAGGATTCCAGGGCTCGCTTGCAGCCCCAATTTTGAGAACTCTGTGGATTCCCGCGTCTTGGGGAGACGCGCCGAACCCCCGGGGGGCGGGAAGGCCGGAGCCGCTGTGCGCCCGGATTGGCTATCGCAGGCCAACCTCGGAGCGGAAATGAAGGCAGGGCGGAAGTTGCGCGAGGCGGCTGGAGGGAGTGTCGTGTGTAAACAGTGTCCTTCCGCGCGCGGTGGCCTCGACGCGAGCGACCCAGGGCGGGGCGTGCCTGGGATGAAGGGATTTAGTGGGAGGCTGGGAGGGGAGGTGGTGTGGGCAGTGGGGTGGCTCCTGCCAAGCTGGCCAATCGCCAGACGGGCTCCCGCCTTGGGCGGAGGAATCCCGGGCTGTGAGGCGGCTGGATCCTGGGCCCATGTGCTTCTTTGTTTACTAAGAGCGGAAGCGGTGGCGGGGAGAGGGGCCTAGTGGCAGAGATCCCAGGGAGAGCGGAGATTTATGAGCCCGAGAGTGAGGAGGAGATCATGTGAGTGGAAGAAAAGGCTCAGAACTGACAGTCCCGTGCTGCAGGTGTGGGTGGCCCTGGAAGGAGGGACCTGAGAATTTCCATTATGGTGTTGGGTAAATTCTCTTTAACTGCCAGGACCCCGGGCTTCCTCTTTAGTTACTGACTTGTGAAAAGCAATTCCATGCAGTTTGGGGGCCGAATTCGTAGACTTATTTCGGTATATCCATGACTGGTTTCTAGATTGTCTCACGCACAGGCAGATATTTTCCACTGTTGTCAAGATTTTTGGTTAGGTATTGAAAGTAGACTCTTCTTTATAGTTTTGCATTTTTATTGCAGAAAAAGTTAAGAAGTTTCTACAGGAGTTTTACCAGGATGGTGAATCGGGCAAGAAGCAGTTTAAATATGGGAACCAGTTGGTAAGTTTTAAGAGTAAATGGAGAGAATGAGGTATTATTGCTTAAAGAGTTAAAATGTAGCTTGGTTCAGCCAGGGAAGTTGTCCTTAAGTGACAGATACAGCATGCTGTGTAATGTTATCATGAATGTAATAGCTATTTTCATAATAATAGGTGGTTTTTAGGTGTTGGGAGGCGGTTTTGAGGGCATAGTATTACTATTAGTACTGCTTTCTTACACGTTTTTTCACTGCATGCTCAGAACTTGTAATGGTGTTTTTTTTTCATATTTGATCATTAAATTTGACTCTGATGCTGTGATACCTCATTCCTACTCCAGGTTCAGCTGGCTCATCGGGAACAAGTGGCAATGTATGTGGACCTGGATGACGTAGCTGAGGATGACCCTGAGTTGGTGGACTCAATTTGTGAGAATGCCAAGCGCTATTCCAGGCTTTTTGCTGATGCTGTCCAAGAACTGCTACCACAGTACAAGGAGAGGGAGGTGAGTTGCTGGAGGAAAATGAAGGGCAGTGTGTGTATCTGACCCAAAGCTTCTCACATAGAAGTGCTTTTTGTACTGATAGGAAGAGGAGCCGAGGTTATCTGTCTTCTTTCCTTTTTTATTTTGCTACTCAAGTGATTGTTCTTGTCCTTGTATACAGGTAGTGAGCAAAGATGTCCTAGATGTTTACATTGAGCACCGGCTGATGATGGAACAGCGGACCCGGGACCCTGGGGCTGCCCGCAGCCCCCAGAACCAGTACCCTCCTGAACTCATGCGCAGATTGTGAGTGGCCCCTTGAAGTGGAGGTGGAAGTTTATTCTCCAAAGCCCCACAGATGACCATTTTTGTCTTCTCAGTGAGCTGTATTTTCAGGGCCCAAGCAGCAACAAGCCTCGTGTGATCCGGGAAGTGCGGGCAGACTCTGTTGGCAAGTTGGTAACTGTCCGTGGAATCGTCACTCGTGTGTCCGAAGTCAAACCCAGGATGGTGGTGGCCACTTACACTTGTGACCAGTGCGGAGCAGAGACCTACCAGCCGGTAAGCTTTCAGAAAGGCACAGGGAGGCAGTGATCTCTGCAGGGAAGTTCCGTGGTAATTTGAGTTACTGGTTATAATGAGCTCTTTACCCTAATCCTCTTTGGTGTTCCTTTTCTCACATCCTAGATCCAGTCTCCAACTTTCATGCCTCTGATCATGTGCCCAAGCCAGGAGTGCCAGACCAACCGTTCTGGTGGGCGGCTCTATCTCCAGACACGTGGATCCAAATTTATCAAATTCCAGGAGATGAAGATGCAGGAGCATGTTAGTATGGGTTATGTGGTCCAGGGTAGATAGAGGAAGTCTGCTCAATCTTTGTACTCAGTGTGGGAATAAGAATGGAAAGATTTAACCTCAGCCCGAACTTTACAGATTGAGAAGACGGTAAAGGTCTGTTTTCTCCTATAGGCTCTTATTTTGTTGCACATAAGGTCCACCTTGAATCTGAGCCACCTTCCATAGCGTCTAACCACCACAGCAGCCTACACACTCGCCTGAGTTTGCCTGTCTGATAAACAGGGAGAAAACAGTGGATGGGAGAGGAAGTTAGAACATGTGATCTATTGCTTTTTCTATTCCTTTCTTATGGGCCCTTCCCTCCCCTAGAGTGACCAGGTACCTGTGGGAAATATCCCTCGGAGCATCACAGTGATGGTCGAAGGCGAGAACACAAGGATCGCCCAACCCGGCGATCATGTCAGTGTCACTGGCATATTCTTGCCAATCCTGCGTGCTGGGTTCCGACAGATAGTACAGGTAAGGAAGGAAATTTGGAGGGGATGTTCCTTTTTCTCCTCTCCCTCTTTGATTGGCCATGAAGATAATCTAAAATTTTTGTCAGTCAGTTGAATGGCTGGAGAAGGTTAAAGGGATTTCATCCATATCCCAGCATTTTCTTGCCCAAGGGTTTACTCTCAGAGACTTACCTGGAGGCGCATCGGATCGTGAAAATGAATAAGAGTGAGGATGATGAGGCCGGGGCTGGAGAGCTGAGCAGTGAGGAGCTGAGGCAGATTGCTGGTAAGGAGCAGGGGAAGGATTGGAATTTGGTTTTTCTGTTTCTCGAGACCATTTTATTCTTAATGAATAGTTTTCACTCTGTAGAGGAAGATTTTTATGAAAAGTTGGCAGCTTCCATCGCTCCCGAGATCTACGGACATGAAGATGTGAAGAAAGCACTTTTGCTTCTGCTGGTGGGAGGTGTGGACCAGTCCCCTCGAGGCATGAAGATCAGAGGTGAGAGACATAGACAAGTGCGGGAATGGATACAGTCATCTGGGGAGGAAGAAGGGGCATCTCGGTCTCATGGGCATAGGGAGGACTTGGAAGAAGTAATACTGAATATAAAGAATAGACCTCAGAAGTGGTTTTTTCCTGTTGTTGGCTAACATGTTTTAGAAGAAAAGTCAACTTGAGGTCTCCCCTCCAGGCAACATCAACATCTGTCTGATGGGAGATCCTGGTGTGGCCAAGTCTCAGCTTTTGTCTTACATTGACCGCCTGGCCCCTCGCAGTGAGTAGCCTTGACTGAGGGAAAGGTTTGCATGGAGACCCAGTGTTGTTTATTCTGGTCTTGGTGGGGGTGGAGGACAGAGCAGGTTGTTAGTGACAGGAGTTCCCACATGGGTTTTAGCTGCCTCAGGTAGTATTAGGGTAGGGAAAATAAAGTGATCCTGGGCAGACTTTGCCTCACTATTCTGGCTTATTACATCCCTTTTCCTGTTTCTGTGGTACTTTATCTTTTGTAAACATGCCTGCTTTTCAATCCTGACTGTGCCATTCAGGCCAGTATACAACAGGCCGCGGCTCCTCTGGAGTAGGGCTTACAGCCGCTGTGCTGAGAGACAATGTGACCGGAGAACTGACCTTGGAAGGCGGAGCACTCGTGCTGGCTGACCAGGGTGTGTGCTGCATCGATGAGTTTGACAAGATGGCGGAGGCTGACCGGACAGCCATCCACGAGGTCATGGAGCAGCAGACGATATCCATCGCCAAGGCAGGCATTCTCACTACTCTCAATGCTCGCTGCTCCATCCTGGCTGCTGCCAATCCTGCCTACGGGCGCTATAACCCTCGTCGAAGCTTGGAGCAGAACATCCAGCTTCCTGCTGCACTTCTCTCCCGATTTGACCTTCTTTGGCTGATCCAGGACCGGCCTGACCGAGACAATGACCTCAGGTGAATAAAGCTCAGTACCTAGAAACAGTCCCCTAAGGGAGGGAGGTTACAAAAAACACATTCGAAGTTTCTAACTGATGAAACTTCAACACCTTCACTTCTTACGTAAGTGGGCCACCCCTTAGCTTTTAGTAAATCATGGGTCAGGGCAAATGAAAAGTTTCTGGGTACATAGGTTCTCCCACAGCAGAGGGACATTTCTTAGAGTCGGGGTGCTGGGTATATAGCACCAGAAAGAATGACCGCTTACTTTGTCTTTGCAGGTTGGCCCAGCACATCACCTACGTGCACCAGCACAGCCGGCAGCCCCCAGCACAGTTTGAACCCTTGGACATGAAGCTCATGAGGTAGGAGATCAGGATAAAGGCTGGAATAGTTTGGGCTGTGTATGTCTCACAAAAAGCTTTCAGTCTTTGAACTTCTGTATTGAAATTTCATTCTGAAACGTAACGAATTTTAAATGAGGAAAGCAACAGGTCCCTTGATTCTGGCCAGATCAGTCCCGACGAAAGGGGATGTCACGATGCTGCCTTGACGATACTACTGCCTTGTCTTAGGAGTGAGACAGGCACAAATTGTAGGCAAAACTGGTTTCTCCTTCATGGATATCATGTTAGTAGCAACAGTGTAAGGGCTTCTAGCCTCCCTTCTGTTTAACCCAACCTCTTTATTTAAGTAGTTATTTTTGCTCTTTAAGTATATGCCCAGAGAAGTTGAATGTAATTGGAAATTTGCTGGGGTCTGTAAGGGAATTCCGGTGTTAGTGGTCAGGGGTTGAGCTGTAACCCGAAGGCACACAATTTAAATTACTAGCTGCTCTGCAGGAGAAAGATGAGGCTGTTCATTCCTGTGAGATTTATTGCTTCAATAATTGAAACCCAATTCAGAGTTGCTAAGTTGGAATCCATGGCAGTCGGCCTTTGTTTATACTTTTTGAAAGAAGCCCTGGTGGCACAGTGATTAGTGTGCTGCTGACACACTCAGCTGCTGACAGGATGGTTGACCAGCACACCCCCCAGATGTCCCACAGGAGAAACACCATGCCAGTCTGCACAATTTACAGGCTGGGGCCCTGTGGTGCGGTTCTGCTCTGGCTTGTAGGGGCCCTTTGAGTCAGATTCAACTCTGCACCAACAGGTGACATTGTTTGAAGAAATCTGTTACTGATATTCAAGCCAAAATGATCCACTGATACTCTTTTCTACTCAAGTTTTTCTTCCCTGAGTTTTCTTAAATGAAGACCCCCTGTGGACAGAAAAAAACCAAACCCACATAGTCACTGCTCCCATTTCCCTTTTCTGTTTTCCACGAATCAATCCTCTTCCCACAGACGTTACATAGCTATGTGCCGTGAGAAACAGCCTGCAGTGCCCGAGTCTCTGGCTGACTACATTACAGCCGCGTACGTGGAGATGAGGCGAGAGGCTTGGGCTAGTAAGGATGCCACCTACACCTCTGCCCGGACCCTGCTGGCTATCCTGCGGCTTTCTACTGCTCTGGTGAGTGTGTGGTCCCTTTTGTCTAATGGTCTGAATGCTGACAACCTGCCTTAACGCCATGTTCTCTGCCTCCTGCCTCTCACTCAGGCCCTGCTGGGGCTAAAGTGCTGACAGTGCAGATAGTGGTCCTCTCCGTGCTACCGCACTGTGGGTACTTGCTGCTCCGGTAGGGCGTGCGCAGCGTCTGAGGAAGGAAAGGGGGCCTCCCAGGTCTCCACCCTTAGGGAGGGCCTGGGTGGGTCCACCTCACAACCCTGCCCGAAACCATCATTGGTGCTCACACGTCTTGGACCTTCGTCCTGGGGGCTCCAAAGTGCTGTTCGTGCAGGTAGTGTGATTACCTGACCTACTGCTGAGCTAGCACTTCCCGAGCCCCTGAGACACAACCTCTCCACCAGTCAGTGGCCACCTAAGGGGCGTCTCCTCAGTCCCCATTTGGCATGGTGAGGAGCCCAGTGGAGTTCGGAAAGGTCTGGTCTCCCTCACAGGACAGCTGAACATGGACTGGCCAGTGTTGAGAGGCGGAGACTTGGGCAATTGCTGGACGCTGCCCTGGGCATTGCACTTGTCTCGGTCTGACAGTGCCGGCCCAACACTGCAGATGTTTGGGGGTGATAAAAGGAGGGGAGGGTCTCTGTTTTGAATTAATGAGCTTTGCAACTTTTCTTAAAGCTGAAATAATAAGACTCTTCGCTGACTCAGTTCTGCTTCACTCCTCTTGTTCCCATCTCTACCCTCCCTTCCTCTTAGGCACGACTTCGAATGGTGGACGTTGTGGAGAAGGAAGATGTGAATGAAGCCATCAGGCTAATGGAGATGTCAAAGGACTCCCTTCTAGGAGACAAGGGGCAAGCAGCTAGGTGAGTAGTTGAAGCATGAGGTCTTACTTACAGAGTTTCTTTACCCACGGATATATGAAATTGGCTCAGAATTCTAATATCAGCTGCTGTTGAAACGGTGTTTATACTAGACCTTACACACCCACTTATTGCCTGTAGGACTCAGAGACCAGCAGATGTGATCTTTGCGACTATTCGGGAGTTGGTCTCTGGTGGCCAAAGTGTACGATTTTCGGAAGCAGAGCAGCGCTGCATATCCCGAGGCTTCACTCCTGCACAGTTCCAGGCAGCGCTCGATGAGTATGAGGAGTTAAATGTCTGGCAGGTCAATACTGCCCGGACACGTATCACTTTCGTCTGATTACAGCCTCCTCTGAACACTGGCGTCTACTCTGCACACCGTGTGCTAACTGGCTTTTGAAGGCTTAATAATAAACTTTGGGGGCAAAGGGAAGTAGCCCTTCCTTCCCTAGTTAGTGCTTATGCTTGTTTCATTTCCTTTGCTAATAAAAGTGTTTATAAAACTTAATTTTCTTTGCTGTTCTGATCATGTAGTCACTCTGTCAGCCCAACTTGTTGAGGGTCTTACACTTGTATGCTGAGCCTTCCTACATTAAGTTCCTTCCTTTAATAGTGATACCAGCAAGCATTATCTCATCTTTAAATCACCAAGTACATCTACCTCATGGTAAAGCAAGTATATCTGTATAGAAGGCAGTACTTGAGAAATTTGCCAGGTTTAGTTGTCCCAGTAGCACATAAACAACAATTGCAGTTTGTCTAGTAATCCTCCCTTTGTAAAAAAGAAACTTGAAACATTAAATCATTCTCAAGTTAGCCTAGATGTGTTGAAGTTGTGTTGTTAGTCAATGCAGCCACTCTGAACAAATGTGAACACTTGTGGTAGAATGTGCTGTTCTATATCTACTTCTCAATAAAGCATGTTCTCTGCTCAAAAAAAAAAATGTGAACACTGCTCTATCCTGTGCCATCCTCTTACTTTCTGACATGGCAAGGCCATTGCTGTAGTCGCTGCACCTGACTGGGGTCTTCCTCTCCTGACATGTTAGGAGACAACTTAGGGTAACTTAAAAGGCAGAACAAGTTATCACTTAGGTGGGAGCAGTGAAGCCTCATCACTAAAAAAAGTCAAGAATAGGGACTCGAGAGTTGGAATGAAGATCCAAGCCAAGAAACGTGTGTGGTGCCTAATAGGACACAGCCACTGGAAGGGATGCTCAGGGGCTGCTCCCTTTTATTAATAACAGGTTTCTCAAAAAAAGAGTGTAGCCTCCCTCCCGTCTGGGACAGTTGTCTGACCCCAGTGCAGCATCCTTCAGATACCCTCAGAAGAAGAGCCCCCGCATTCGCCTGCCAATGCCTTGTCGATCATAGAGGACATTGAACTTGTTCACAAACTGGTTCATAGTGTTGCAAGTTTTGGTGATGGTGCCAAGGTAGGCCATGAGCCCCACATCATTGCATTGCTGTGAGGGAACAAAAGAATCATTTCACCTGGGGGTACTTTACATTTAGAAAGCACCAATCTCAAGTCTTGTGTGCAAGATAAACCCACCTTCCCCACTCAGGGTTTCATACTTACATCATAAAAGTCTGTTTTGAATTTGTCTGTGCTGAGTACGGGGAGACAGTGACAGAGTGCATAAGCTTCCCTCAGTATCTCATGGTTAAAGGGGACCTCTCCTAAAGGTATAAAAACAGCTGCATTAATACGGCACTTGCAGATTCCTCAAGGGGAAACTGTACCAGGGTGGCGCTCATCCTACCTGCTTCAGAAGCCTTGACATACTCCAAGATGAGTTTGACCCGGCTGTGCAGCATCTTGATGGCACTGTGCTGTGCTATCAGGTGTTCAGCCACTGTGAGAATAAGGACCAGTGAAGGCTGAGAAGGCACATGGCCTCCCTTGTACCCCTACCTGCCCGGAAACTCCTCTACTCCATTACCAGTGGAATTCTCTCCGCTGCCTGTGGCTGTCATTCTGGCCACGTGATCTACACCAATGCGTTCAGCTTCTTCTGTGGCTAGGGTGTAAGTCAGCTCGGCAAACAGCATTGTGGCCTACAGAGCAAAGCACCCCACACAGGGTCAAAAGCAGGAAACGGGCCAAGAACAGGATCTGAGGATTGAAAGGTAGGGTATTACCTCTCCATTGATTATATCGATCACAGATTCAAAAACGCTGACGGGAAGCTGTAAAGGAGAGACGGAAAATAGTTCGAATATAAAATGTGCCAAGAATTCTGTTAGGCTATTTCTCACATTTTCTCCTTGATCCTCTCAAGATCTTAGGGAAGTAGAAATGATGATTTTTACACAGAAAAACAGGTTCAGAGTTAAACATGGTAAGTCAGAGCTGAAGGACAGAGGTTCAACTCAAGCATTCCCCATTAGAAAAGTAACGCCCTGCAGGCAAAGACAGCAGAGGATCAGAGGATAATAGTATCTGCATGAGTGAAAGTGGGCAGAGTGCCATTACTTACATCTGTATGCTTGGTCATAGGGTTCAACTTGAGAAAGAGGGGACTCTCAATTATCTCACACACCTACAATAAACCAGAGTAAGACAAGAATGTTAAGGCTCCTCCCTCTTCTACTATTGCACGCACATGAGAGCATATATATACCTGCTTGTGGACGTGGATGTCAGAGGGATCAGGTGGCCCTCCTGTGGTGTACCAACCCAGAAACTCCAGTTCCTTGAATACCTGTTTAACTGGAGAGGAAAGAGCCAAAGTTGAGTTATTTCTTTACACCACCCTTAGTTTACAGTTCTTTGGTGTGCCTTCACCATCTGTTCCCCTCTTCCCTTACATCTGTTTAGAATCACTCTCTCTAGTCTGTCTTCCTCATCCTTTATTGGAGGAACAGGGGCATACCAGGATGTGTCCTTTTTTCCTGTGACGTCTTCAACTACTCTCAACCCTGTTCTCATCCCACTAACCCGTTTTCTTTCTTCCCAACCCTGTCTGCGTCCCACCTCTCATCTTCTCCACTGCCCTTTGCTCCCACCCCTCTCCCCCACGTCTATTCCCCTCTCACACTGCTCCTCCTTGGTGTAATAATATTCCTTGTCAATGATAATCTTCTCCTCCACGGTGTGGGACAGCAGTTCAAAGGAGTTCATCACTTCGATATTTCTGCCCTCCTGCTTCCCAATCAGGGCCCCAATCACTGCGGGAAAAGACACAAATGAGCATAGGTGGTCTCAACTTGGGATGCGTTCCGTTCTGGAATAAGTTCTGTTAAGTCTAAGGTCTTTTTTAAGAAAGTTTGGGTTTTTTGTTTGTTTGTTTTTAAATTATCAGCATCTTCCTGCGAGTGCACATCTAAGAATGTTAACATCAGCGAACGTCAGGCTGTGACAGTCTATTAGAACAGACTGCTAACGATAAGATGTAATGAATTGGCAACTGCCTGCACAAGGAATCCAGAACTTTCCTTAATCTCCTGAGATCAGTATAAACTAAGAATAGGGGAAAGCTGCAATTTAGGGGAGGGAGGAGTTGGCCTCAAGGGGGGGGGGAAGAGAGAAGTAGTAAAAGGGGGAAAGTTCACCATTTGAGGAAGGTAACCAAAGGGAAGGGGGCTGGAGAATGAATTTCCCCGAACACTCACCCTGCATAGGCCGCCCCTCCTGGGAGCGCATGCGGATCCAGTGGTCAGAGATGTTGAGAATAACAAGGGGATGAAGAGCGACGGAGACACTCCCCGTCACCCCGAAGGCCATCACGCTGGGGACTACTGAGGGCAGAGAGGAGAGAGCATCAGAGTCCAGATCCTAGAGACGGGCGCCGAAGACGGCAGACCCGGGCCCTCCATCCCTCCTGCGAGTTACTCCACAACACGATGAAGCCGTCCTGTCCTCTTGACTGTTCCCGTGGAGTCCAGACAGACCCCACTGCATGGCAAAGGGGCGGTCTCCAAAAGCCGTCCCCGCCGGTCCCGTTACCTGAAGCATCCACCTCCATCCCGGTGCTCCCGCCGGTCCCGTTTGCAGCAGCAGCAGCCGCCGCCATCTTCCCCGCGCCCGCCAGCCGTGGCCCCGCCCCCTCCGCCGCCGTTTCCGCACGGGGCGGCCGCGCATGCTCAGTTGGGCGTGCCTGTCAAGGCGCTGGGAGCCGGCTGGACCTGGGCGGCCGCCGCGGTTCCCACCGGACCGTGCTTGCGGCGGGAAAGCCGGTGACCCCTCCCAAGGCCTCGGAGCCCGACGGATCTTGCAGACCCTGGCCTCGCCTCTCGCCAGCGGATGACCTTCTATAAAATGCCTACCTCTTATTAGAGGCGATATATGACTATTATGGTTAGCACAGGAGTCCAGAATTAAGGTTGCATAGAAAAGTGTACTTGGTGCGGGGGGTGCGGGAGGGATGGGGGAATTGTATACCCATGAAGGAATTTTTTTCTTTCTTTTTCTTTTCTTTTTTTACTTTATTATTATTTTTTTGTGCATGTACCATCAAATCAGATCTGACTGGTACAGGAGGAAATTGTCCCTCCCTTCTCCGGCAGAGCATCTGGTGGATTTGAACCGTGTACCTCTGGGATTGCAGTACAGCTTCTTGCCACTAGGCCACAAGAGCTCCCCTTCTTTTTTTTTTTCAAAGAGAGGAGAGAACTGGTGGGGAGGGGTGGGCAGGGAGAACAGGCAGAAATCCAAAATTACTATAAATGTTTATTAAAATTAATAAAAATGGGGGGAAAATGCCTAGCTCTTTAGGCTGTTGCAGAATGAATGAAATGCCATGTTATTTCTCTCAGGCTCCAAACTCCTCCTAAGCATGACCTTTGAAGAAGTCCTGAGTGATACGACCTGCCTGTCTGCCTTCCCTTCGCCTCGCACTTTTCTATCCTGCTCTTTGCTCTCATGCTTCAGTCATTACTCCCACATGCCCGGCTCTTTAAAGTCTTGTTCATCACTATATTCCCTTTATAGCCCCGTGTATAACAATGCCTGACACAGAGGTACCTAAATACTTTTTAAATGAATAATCTAGGAGGCAGGGAGCCTGGTCTCTAGTGACTTCATTTGGATATTCTGCCTTTTCTCCTTCCAGGTGTTGCGCGGGCACACACATACACACACACACACAAACACACACACACACACACACACACACCCTCTTTGCCTTTACTTGCCACCTCCACAAGACTGACATAAACCTCACCTCTGGTAAACCTAGTCCAAGCAAATTTTACACACACCTCCCTCTGTCTACCAAAATCACTGTGGTTAGTGGTTTGCCACTCACAATAACTCTATGGATAGTAGCAGACTGCTACTTATTTATGATGGAGAAGCCTTTCAGTTAGCTGCCCAACACTTAATTCATTATGTCACTAGGGCCTCTATCCAGCTGACTTTTTTAAGTGTGCAATCACATTGCACTCCAAAACATCAGTTCCAGAAGAAAGGTAGAGACCCTGCGAGGTGGCTGTCCTGTGACCCCTCTGAGCCTGGTCTATTGCTCAGAAACAGCAGGTACCAGGAAATATTTTCCACTGATCACAGTGACTTTTATGATTGTTTTATCTTTACAGTTGGGAGTCTGGAAGAAAGGAAGTTGACGTTTAACACCCCTCTCCCCCTAACAGAAGACTGAGAAATCTGGCAGATAGAGGAGTTTGACTATGTGATTATACAACCTGAAATAAAGGGGCTCCCAATCCAGTAGTACTAGTATCTTTATAAAAGAAAAAAAAGATACACACACACACACACACACACACACACAGAGGAGATGGAAACCCTGTGATGCTGCAAGCTAAGGGACACCTGGGCCACTAACTAGAAACTGGGAGGGACAGAAAAGCATCCTCCCCTAGAGACTTCACAGAGGGCATGGCCTGTTAATACCCTGAATTTGGACTGCTGGTCGCTAAAATTGTGATAACATATATTTCTATTTTCCTAAGCCACTCATTTGTGATACTTTGTTCCAGCAACTTTGGGAAACGACTACCACTAACTACAATATGGGCTTCAGCTAATTACTCCAAATGGAAGCTTCATCTACATAAACTCTATACGAATTTTAATCACAGATAAAATTACTATACGGTGAGGTAAGATAGTCTCACCTGCCAGGTCTTGCTCCCCCAGAACACAGTGCCCATGTCTCAGCTTGGCAGGGCACTTGGTTTGTTTTTTTTATAAGGCATTTCTGGTCATACTTTAGTAACTTCCATAAAATGAATGGGAGTGACTGTAAAGAAGGTGTTTATGGCCCCCCAAAGGGATTGGTCAGTTTTGCCATTCACTAAGTTTAAAAAGAGCCACAGATTGGGGGTTTAGAGAACCTATTACCATGAAGAAAAAGACCCAGAAGTAGAGAATATGCTTCTGACCCGGGCTCTGGGCTCTGAGAAACTCGGTTGCAGGCGTGTAACAATGAAGCAGCAGTGGCATGAGTAGTGAGAACCAGGAGGTGACCGGTGCAATAATGCTGCTGTGGACTCGCCAACACACAGAGCCACACAAAGCTGCTTTTGGATAGGGAATTTCCTGGTGACGTGAGATGCCTCTCGGCACTTATTGTTGAAGCTTAAGAGCTGGTAACACTTGTCTGAACAGTGCAGAGGCCAACAGCGAGGCTTGCCTGCCTGCGGGCAACGACACACAAGCAAAGAAGTTGATAGCCATCCCGCTTTAAGAACTGTATCCTTCCGCCTGCGTTGTTCCCATTACTTCCAAATTGACCTTAATGCTGAATTTTGGCCTGTTGCTTATCTAATAAATCTCGTAATTGTTAAGTATGATTTCGTTGCTGTTATGTGCTGTTGAGTCCCCTGCAACCCATAGGGACCCTTTCTATCTAGAGCTGCTCTTAAGCCTGCACTGTTCTGAGCCAGTCTCATTAATTCTAACACACCAACCCCCATTGCTCCAGTTACTGTATCAATCCATCTCTTCTGGAGTCTTCCTCTTCTGTGCTGGTCCCCCATCCTTCCGAGCATGATGCCCTTCTTCAAGGACCAGTCTTTCCTGGCCACATGCCTAAACGATGTGAGATGGAGCTTCAAAATCCTAGCCTCCAAGGAGAAACTTGGTTTCACCCTCTCTAGGACGGACCTATTTGTTTTCTTGATAGTGCATGGTATGTTCAAGACTCTTCTCCAGCACCACAATTCAAAGGCATTGATTCTGCTGCCATCCTTAGTCATTGTCCAGCTCTCTGATATTGCGAAGACCCTGGCTTGGATTAGGCTCAGCTTAGTGTCTAGACTGATATCTTTGCTTTTCAGTACTCTGGAGAGGTACTTGACAGCAGATATTCTCAGTGCAATTCGTCTTTTGATTTCCTGACTGCTGATGTTAAGAGTGTTGATTGTAGAGCTGAACAAGCTGTAATTGCTAACAAACTCAATCTTTTCTCCATCTATAATGGTGCTATCAGTTGGCCCAGTGGTGAGTAACTTTGTCGTCTTGATGTTGAGTTTTCATCCATATTGAAGGCAGTGGTCCTTGACCTTCTGCAGCAAGTGCTTCATATATTTTTCAGTTTCAGTAAGCAAGGTTGTGTCATCTACATAGTGTAGGTTATTGATGAGTCTTCCTCCAATTCTGATGCCACATTCCTCCTCATAAATCCCTGCTTCCTGAATGATCTGTTCTGCATACAGATTGAAAAGCTATGGAGACAGGATGCATCCCTGACACACCCCTTTCCTGATTTTGAACCATGCAGTGTTTCCCTGTTCTGTTCTGAGGACTGCTTCATAGTCCAGGTACAGGTATTGCATAAGCACAATCAAGTGTTCTGGGGTTCCTATTTCCCTCAAGGTTAACTACAATTTGTTGTTATCCACACAGTCAAGGGCCTTTGGATAGTCATGAAACATAGATAAGACATTCCTCTGGTACTCTCTCCTTTTTGCCAAGATCCATCTGACATTGGCAATAATGTCTCTAGTGCCACGTCCTCTTCTAAACCCAGCTTGTATTTGTTACTTCTCTGTCAATGTACTAATCTAGTTGTTTCCGGATAATCTTCAGCAGGATTTTGCTAGTGTGTGGTATTACTGATATTGATAATTTCCACATGCTGTTGGGTCACCTCTTTTTTTTTTTTTTTGAGTGAGAATAAAAATGGATCTCTTCCAGTCAGTTGTCCAAGTAGTTTTCCTCCAGATTTCTTGGCACAACTTGGTGAGCACATCCAGGGCAGTTTGTTGAAATGCATCAATTGTTATTCATCAATTCTTGGTGCTTTATTTTTTACGAGCAGCCTGAACTTCCTCCTTCATCACCATTGCCTCTTGATCATATGTTGTTTCTTGAAATACTTCTGTGTTAGCCAATTCTTTCTGGTACAATGACTTCCATCTTCTTTCAAGGCTTCCTGAATCATTCAATATTCTGTCCATAACATTCTTAAGCATTGCAAGCTGTGGCTTGAATTTGTTTTGTTTAAAAAAATTGTCTTAGGGAGCTCTGGTGGCCTAGTGGCAAGAAGCTGCACTGTAATCCCAGAGGTATGTGGTTCGAATCCACCAGATGCTCTGCTGAAGAAGGAGGGACAATCTCCTCCTGTACCAGTCAGATCCAATTTGATGGTGTGTGTACACACACACACACACACACACACGTTTAAAAAAATTTGTTCTTTAGTTCCTTCAGCTTAAGAAATGCCAAGCGAGTTCGGCCCTTTTAATTTTCCATCTCCAGCTCCTTGCACGTTTCATTATACTACTTTTTTGCCTTGTCTTTCCGAGCTGCCTTTTGAAATCTTCTATTCAGCTCTTTAACTTCTTGATTTCTTCCCTTTGCTTTGGCTTTTCAGAGTCCTAGTGCAATATTCAGAGTCTCTTTTGATATCCATTTTGGTCTTTTCTTTTTCTTCCTTATTCATATTTCATTGCTGATAAATATTCTTCATGAATAATATTACTGATATCTTCCCACAGCTCATTTGGTCTTCATTCATTAGTGTACAAGGCCTCAAACCTGATCCCGAGTTTGTTTTTAAATTAAGGGAGAATACGCTCTAGATCATATTTTGGTTCCTGTGGATATGATTTAACCTTCTTTACCTTTAATTTGAAGTTGCATATGAGTATGATTTCAGGACTTGTCAAATACAGAGTGCGACAGAAGTGTCAGAACTGGTAAAGAAGCTTGAGAGTGGTGGTAGGTCGCCTGCTCTGACTTTTAGGTTAAAAATCCATCACCTGCCACTTTTACATGTGCAAGGATCTTGGGAAAACGAATGGGTTGGTTTGCTGGGGTATGTTTAATAAAAAGTCACACAGGAATTTCAGAGCACTTTCTAAATTTCAGGAGAATAATTTAATTTTAACAACTTAAAGGGGCATTTATACATAAACCCAACACAGCTTAATTTGGATGGAAGCATATTTTAAATAAGGCGAGTTTCTTATTTTGAAAAGCCTTGTTTCTTGCAGGTTTAGACTGGACACGTAGCACTTATTCTCCAAAAAAAAAATTCTAAGTAAAGGGAGTTCTGGTGGCCTAGTGGCAAGAAGCTGTGCTGCAATCTCGAAGGCACACGGTTCGAATCTACCAGACACTTTGCTGGAGAAGGAGCCAAACTCCTCAGTCTCTTCCTATGCCAGTCGGATCCGATTCAACAGTACACGAAAAAAACAAAAACAAACAAACAAAACAACAAAAAATTCTCAAGTAGAGCTGGTAGTTACCCCTATCCCCAAGGATGAGGCCCAAGGGTGGTGGACGGCCCGACCCGCACCAGCCACCAGGGACCGTGGCCTGCGAGCTCCTCTTTCCAGGTAGGAGGCGGGGACCGTGACCTGCAAGCTCCTCTCTGCAGGTAGGAGGCGGGGACCGTGGCCTGCGAGCTCCTCTCTGCAGGTAGGAGGCGGGGACCGTGGCCTGCGGGCTCCTCTCTGCAGGTAGGAGGCGGGAACGGTGGCCTGCGGGCTCCTCTCTGCAGGTAGGAGGCGGGAACGGTGGCCTGCGGGCTCCTCTCTGCAGGTAGGAGTACAGTGTGGCTGGAGCGCAGGTCTTCAGCCCTCGCAGCTCGAGTCGGAAGCCCTGAACTGACCTGAGTCACCAACGAGAGACAAGGACCTCCCCGTTTCCTAGAGAGAACAAGTGGGTGCTGAGACATCGGGGTGAGGTGGGCGGTGAAAAGGGCCGACCCGGAAGGGAAATTGCGAGAGCTTCCGTTCTTTGTTCTGTCCAGGGAGTGCGGGTTAGTGACAGGGTCCGGCAGGGCCTGGTCCGTGTCAAGCCCCCCTAATCACCCGTCCCTACCCTTAGGGTGAGTCTGGCGGCCCGTGGGGCTCGCGGTGACATGGAGACTGTGGTCGCTGGGGAAGGGGCTGGTGTCCGTGTCGCTGTGACCGGGACGGCGTGCGGGAGGCGCCTCTCAGCCCCCCCAAATGTAGACGCTCCCCTTCCCCAGGGAGTCCCCTCCCAAGGGGAGCTTGCAGCCAAGGGCGGAAAGGGGGCTCTGGATCGTGTTTTTGCTTAACTCGTGCTCATCTCGAGCATTTACAAGTCCCCGGAGAGGCGTCCTTCGTTCTCTTTAAAGCATCTAATGAGCCTAACTTAGAAGTTCTCCGAGGAGCTTATATTTGATATTAACACGGTCATATGCCCAAGTAGGAGAGGAGATCTGTTTTCATTCGGACCCAAGAGTCAGAAAATCAGGGATTCTATACAAGTTAGTATCTTGGGTGGCGTGAGTGGTGTACGCAAATCCCCAATTTCCAGAAATAGAGCCGCAGAAGCGCCATACGTTAAGTTTTTTTAGGGGAAATGTACGAAGAGTGTGGGAGTCAGTGACTCGCATTTTCCATTGTATTAGATACCCACTTGATTTGGAAGTGTAAGAGGGGAGTCCCACAGAAGCATGATGGTACTTGAAATCTTTAGGACCCTCCGGGGAACTCAAGGTATTTATCTTCGAGAGATGAGGTGTCTAGAGGATGAGCATCATTTGGTTTCAAGTTCTTGATGATCAGTCGTGTAAAGGAGAGCATGACAGTCATTGAAGGCTCAAGGAGACTGTCAGTTTAACATTGGAAAAATCTTGTGGTTAAACTGCATCACTGAAGGAGGTGAGCTCATCAATGAGCCGCCTCATAGAAGTAGGGGAGCTTATCTGGCGAGTTATCTGAATGAACCCTACAGTCTTGAGTTTCTTACTCAGGATAGGAGATTGACCTGAAGAAAACGTCTTTCCCTGCTTACAGGTGCCAGTTGAGATGGTCTTTATCAGTATTTTTAGTCTGTGCTGCTGATTAGCTTTTGTTTTTCTTATCTAAATATCCAGATTAGAAGTTACTTTTACATGAATATTTAAAATGTCCTTTTTAAAAATAAATCATACAGCTTTGGCATCAGCGACGGTCAATATTCCCAGAAACTTGAACAGAGGCTGTCAAATTCCCAGAAACTACTCCTTTCTAACCCCAAAGAAGGCAAGAACGCAGCAGGTAAAGCTTTCCATGACTTGCGTGCGCTACCTGGTTATGTGTGTCTGCTCAGGACCAGCTCCTCGACGTGAGCTTGCAGGAGAGGAGGGGAAGAGCTTTGACTTAAAGCTCTAGGGGCACGGTAGAAATTGGATCAAGTATGTAACATTGGTTACTGATCTAGACACTGGGGTCTATGCCTTTGCATTTGAGCTTGGGCTAACTCAGCCTTGAGGAGGGAGGGATCCCTTTTCCTCTAGCGTTTGAGACTTGGACTGTGAAAGCTGATTTGTTGGGTTGTCTGCTCATAAGTAACCCTAGAAGGCAGAGAGGTGGTTGAGAATAGGGAAATGGCTGGGACAGTTGAAGGAGCACAGCAAGATGATGGTAATGAAAGAGGACATCACTTTGACCACCAGTGGGTCTGTCTCATGCCTGCTCTTGGTACCTTTCACCTGTGTAATGTTACTGATGTTGAGCTTCTAGACCCTCTTAATGCTTACGTGATAATTTCCCTGAACTTCCAGTGATACTTGTGCATTAATTCAGGCAGAGTGCCTCCCCTTTCTATGCCTTGTTATAATACAGTAATTTGTAGAAAATCTGTCATGGACCTCTCCAGAGTACCAAAGAGCAATGATGTCAGTCTGGAGACTAAGGTGTACCCGATCTGACCCATGGTTTTTGCAGCTACTTACTGTGCATCAGAGAGCTAGAGAATGACTAAGTAAGATAGGAGAAGAATCAATGGCTTTGAGTTGTGATACTGGAGAAGAGTATTGAACATACCATGGACTGCAAAGAGAACAAACAGGTCTGTTCTGGAGAGGGTGAAACCAGACTGCTCCTCTGAGGCAAGGATTCTTAAGCTCTGTCTCACATACTTTGGGACCATCCTTGGAGATCATGCGTGGAAGGCTGGAGGAGCAGCACAAGAGAGGAAGACCTGGATGATATGGATTGATTCAGTGACTGGGGTAATGGGATGTGTTGGAGACAATGAAATTGGCTCAAGATAGAGCAGTATGTAGTATATAGGGTTGACTGCACATACAACAGTCTTGTAATGAAACAGATAAGTTTTTCTATTCCTCATTTATTTTTCTTTCTTTTTTTTTACATTTTTTTTTTGTGTGTACCATCAAATCAGATCTGACTGGTTCAGGAGGAGATTGCCTCTCCTTCTCCAGCAGAGCGTCTGGTGGATTCAAACTAAACTGCGTACCTCTAGGACTGCAGTGCAGCTTCTTGCCTAGTGGCCACCAGAGCTCCCTTCAGTTTTTTTTTCTTAATACAGTGTGTTAAAATTGAGTGTCTTGTTCCTCAACTAATGTTTGTAGTATGATCAAGTGAATAAGCAAATGAAGAGAGTAGATAGACAAAATGCAGGAATTTTTTTGGTTTATTTTCCCTATGCACTTGTTTAATTATAAAGACACTGCTGGATGCTGAACCAATTCTAGATTTATTGATTTTGGTCTCTAACCTTCAAATGTGAAGGGAAACTTCTTGAGATTTAGACATTAGTCTGGATACTGATATTTTGTCCACTAGTACTATATTGTTGTTAGGTGCTGTCATAGAGGACTCATAGAGACCAAATAATTACCGGAGTAAATGGAGAGTGGGAGAAGTTAGTTAGTAACAAAAAGGGAATAACAGAGTCTTCTGGTGGGAGTTCTTTTCCCTCCCCCAGTATTGGTCACTCCCTCTAGGACTTATTTTCTGAATGAGATTTATCAGGAGAGGAAGTAAAAAGAAGGCTGCGAGGACTAGATCCTGGTGAATCACTACACTTAACCCTGTTTAATGAGACTACCACAGACACCCCAGAAATACCCCGAGTTCCTCATCTCCACCCCATCTTTGGCTGAGACAAAGCAGCAAATTGTCTTAGAAAGAAGGGGGTAGTAGAAGGAATTTTTATACAAGTGGGCCCAGTGAGACAGTGGTGATGTCTCTCCAGAGTGATTAAAATGAGAGCTTTCTTTGGGCTCTTCTAAAGCTGACACACTGTAGTCTTCAGTATGGATTGAGGCTCAATATCAAGAAGACAAAGATTCTCACCACTGCACCAATTGGCAGCATCAGGATGGATGGTGAAGAGATTGAGATTGTTAACAACTTTAGTCTGCTCGGCTCCACAGTTAACACTCTTGGCACCAGTAGCCAGGAAATTAAAAGACGTATTGCCATGGGAAAGTCTGCTGTTAGGAACCTCTCCAAAGTACTGAAGAGCAATGGTGTCTCTCTGGAGACTTAAGGTGCGTCTGATACAGGCCATGGTCTTTGCAATCACTTGTTAGGCATCAGAGAGTTGGACAATGACTAGGGAGGATAGAAGGAGAATTGATGCCTTTGAGCTGTGGTGCTGGAGAAGAGTATTGAGGTACCATGGACTAAGAAAACAAACAGATTCATCCTTGTGAGGGTTAAACCGGGAGGCTCCGTCTAACATACTTTGGACATGGGTGGAGGGGCAGCGTAGGAGGGAAAGGCCCTCTGTGAGGTGGATTGATTCAGTGACGGGGTAATCGGGATGGTTGTGTTGGAGGCTGTGCGATTGGCACAGGATAGAGCAGGATTTAGGGCTGTGGTACATAGGGTTGCTATGAGTCGCAAGTGACTCGACGGCACATAACAACAATAACAACAACTAAGTGCCTTCAGGCCACTTCTAACTCACAGCCACTTTGTGTAGAACAGATGAAACTCTGACCAGATCCTCACAGGTCACAGTTGTAGCCCATTGTTGTAGATATTTTATCCATCTCATTGAGGTCTCCCTCTTTTTCTGTGATGCCCCACCTCCCAAGTCTTTCTCCAGTGATTGGTCCTTCCTGATGTTATGTCCTGAGTGTGGGAGACAAAGTGTCAGCATCCTTGTTTCTAAGGAGTGTTCTGACTGTATTTTTTCCAAGACAGCTTGCTTTGTTCTTTTGACAACTGTGGTGTACTCAGTATTTTTTTAACATGCCACAATTTGTGTCAGTTCATTTGGAAGACCCTTTTTCATTGTCCAGCTTTCAAATACATATAAAATGACAGAAAATATCATGGCTTAGGTATGCACACCTTAGTATTTAAATCTGTTTTTTTAACACATTTGCCCTGTGCAGTAGTACCCTTTTCCATTTCCTGTCTGCTACTTTGATGGGTATTGATTTTTTTTTAAAATTTAAGAAGAATGAAAGGGAGCTCTGGTGGCAAGAAGCTGTGCTGCAGTCTTGAAGGCCTGTGGTTCATATCCATCAGATGCCCCGCTGGAGAAGGAGGGGCAGTCTCCTCCAGTCAGATCTGACTTGACGGTACACAACAACAACAACAAGAATGAAATTCTTCATAACTTCAGTTTTTTATCATATTTCATGTTTATGGGTCTTGTAAGTAATTTTGCTTTATGTTCAGGTATAAGGATAACATATCAAATTAATGAAACAATTAGAAACTTAAGCTGTTCTCTCCTACCACTTGTAATATTTATTGGTTTATATGGTCTGCCCCTCCCCAAATATTATGAAAACTTGATGTGGTAACATGTGCTTTTGAGTATTTGAAACCACATTCTTCTCTAGTTGATCTTTTCCCCTTTACATTATCCAAGCTTTTTAGTGCACCTGATAATTTTCACTTTCAGTATCTGCTTAGTATTTTACCCTGTCAGTGGCATTATTTGGCTTTATTATTTCCTCAATTTTTGTTAGAAATATCACTTAGTGTGGGGCTAGAACTACAGATGAGATGTTGTTGGGGATCTTAAGGCTCGTTTCAGGGAGTAAGTGCATAGACTCGCCAGGATCTAAACAACTACTCCCAATTGTTGTTTGTTCTAACTATTCTGGAATATTGACTAAAATGCCAGTTCTCCTCTTTCTTTATTCAGAAGTTTTGTATTGTTTTTATTTGTAATCTTTTTGAACTTTGGACTTTTGCTTCTGCAGTGCTTCTCTGTTCTCATCCAAAGCCTGTTTCCTGCGGAGTCTGCACACAGGAGACCAGAGTGCCAGAACTCCTAGCCCTACCCATGGACACTCAGGCTGACCACGTATCTCAGGAACCTCACGGCCTGCTTGAGAGTGGTGAGGAAGAAGGACTCATGCGCTCTTTTATTCAGTCCCTTAGTGAATTCTCTTACACACCAGATTCTAAGTTGTTGTCAGGTACTGCAGAACCTAACACTGCCCGTTCTCCTGGACCTTCCTCAGAGTTGTTGCAGCTCACAGCTGCAGCCACTGTGTCAGTCTACCTCACTGTCAGTCTTCTTTTTTTGATGATCATTTACCAAGCATGATGTCCTTTTCCAGAGACTACTTCCATTTGGCACTATGTTTAACGTATTTGAAATGAAGTCTTGCCGTTCTTGCTTCTAAGTAGCATTCTGACTGTCTGTCTGCCAAGATAGATTTGTATGTTCTTTGGGCAGTCCACGGATTATTTAATGCTCTTTGCCAACATTAATTCAGAAGCATCAGTTCTTTTTTTGTCTCCCTTATTCATGCAACTTTTCATGGTTTGGGTCAAGTGCACATCTGTCCTCTTGGTGACAGGTAGACTGATACACCAGTGGTGAAGATACCAGAGTATGCACTTGTTGGACTGTAGAGCTGGAACCGACCCATAGTTGACCCTCTGGTGGGTTTTCAGAGGCAGGTAATTGCACAGGAGGAAATTTCCTTTCTTTCTCTCATGGAGCAGCTGGTGGCCTCGAACCAGTGCCTTCAGGATTGCAGCACAGCTTCTTGCCACTAGAACACCAGAGCTCAGAGTATGCACTATTATTGTTGTTAAGTGCCATCGAGTTGTAGACGACTCATAGCGACCTTCTGAACGAAAGACCTGAACACTTGCATAACCTTCATCGTTTCTCCAGAGGCAAGCAATTTGGGAAGTGGATGCCACTCCTGCTTCCAGGCTTATTTAATTGGGGAGTTCTGCCAAACACTGTCCATCCTGGGTAACCATTATCACATTTGACACATTAGTGTCAAACTGTTCAGCATCACAGGAACCCCGAGTTACCTCTTTACAGCAAATGGACAGACCCGTGCTATGCCACTTAGAATAATGTTTGACCCAAAACAATTAAAACCGGCCTGAGGGCCAAAGACTAAAATTACCCACCCTTGACTTGGTAGCATCACATTCTGTCCACTAGGCCAACTGAGCTCTCTCTATGTTGAGAGTATGCACTAGAATATAAAATAAATGGGAAATGTTACTTGCCGTTTTTCAGCTCATAACCTAATAGAGGAGGCTAACAGAACCAGTAATTAATATATAGCTTTTGGGGGTTTTTCAATAGCTGAGGCACTTCTAAATAGTGTGGGTACCTAATGCAGGCTTTAGAAAACTGTGGCAGTCAATGAATTACTTTTGTCATGCACCCTGTAACTAAGGCATAGCTTGTGTTTTGAGCCTGATATTAGTGGGAACTTTTGAGAATTATTTTATAGTTCACAGGCAGGGGGGAGGGGAGGGATAGACTTGACAAATTTTGCCCAGGCGCAGTGGACGGACAAAGACAGCACTTCGTAAATTGTGTTGAGAGAAGAATAACTGGGGAGAAAGGAAGGGACGTAGTGTAGATTGGGAGACCAAGAATAGCAGAATTTTGGATGTCCCTCCTCAGGCAGCATCTGTTGTTAACGTCTTTAATAGCTACAAAGAAGTGAACTAAAAATGTAAGAAAGTGGGTCCAAGATCTGTCAATCTAGAAATTGACACATTGGAACCTAAAAAGCAGACTTACTCATGGGCCTTTTTATTGTCCCATCAGCTCTTCCTTCGAAAGTTCCTGGCAAGGACAGTTTAGGGAATGAGATGTTAGCCGCCGCACTCCTAAAGGCCAAGTCCCAGGTAAGTTAGGACTTTATCTTTCTTTTTTTGTGGAAATTTTTTCTGTGTGGATACCCTGTTCAGTAGCATCACATTGAATTCCTGCTAAGGGAACTTTATAGTGTCTTGGACTCTGGCTTCTTCCACCCTCATCTCTTTACCCCTACAGTATCTATCATTCATTCCATCACAAATTATTTTTTGTTGTTGCCTATTCCATCCCTTCCCCCAAAACTGCATGCAAGAACTTATATATTGTTTCAGGAGTTGGTGACATTTGAGGATGTAGCTGTCTATTTTATCCGGAAGGAGTGGAAACGTCTAGAACCAGCACAGAGGGACCTCTACAGGGATGTAATGCTGGAGAATTATGGGAATGTGTTCTCACTAGGTAAGGAGTTAAACTTTCTCAACATTTGTTTCCTTGTAACAATCTAGCCACTACCAATAGTAAACTAAGGATAGACATAGTCTAAGAAAAGTTTAACAATCATAACTCACACTTGTAATTTGTAGTTTATAAAGACCTTTCATATGCACTCATTTATTCCTCACAGTAACAGCAAATGGGGTAGTTCGTACTTATCTTACAGATGAGGAAGGCGAGGTTAGAGATCTTAGATGCTTTATCTATGGTTATATCATTGGTGAGTTGAGAGCTTGGCTTTGTTCCTTTAACTCTCAAATCCACCACTTTTCCATTTTTCAAGATTGAAAATGTAATCCCACAACTCTACTAAAGAAGCAACATATTGGGATCCCAGAATGTGTGAGGTGCTGCACTGTGGACATGCTGGGACTCTTTACCTGCCTATCTCTCTGGCCAGTAACCTCTGTGCACCTGTTGCTTGTTCGGGACCTAGTGCCGGTTCTACTTTCACAGACCTTTAAACTTGTTTTAGGGAGAACTTCTTACTCTTTAGGATGTGGATTTAATTCTTTGTTGTGCCCTCCACTTGCACTGAGCAAATTTTCCTGAGTGACACCAGAGGCTCCTCCTCCTAGCTCCCATTTAAGACCTCCCTATGAATTCCTTTCCTGTTTCCGGCAGATGCTGGGTCTGGGATTGAGCTCCGGGTCTGCTCAGTATGAGCAGTATAAACCTCCTGTCCCATGTCTGTCCCCGTGAGCAGGATTTCCATTTCTGAGTCTTGAATGATCTCTCAGCTAGAGTGAGAGGAAGAACCAAGGGTCCTGGGTTTGAAGGGAACTGAGAACAGAGAGGTCCTGAGAGGTGCCTGCTCAGGTGAGGGAGAAACAGCTATTTCTGTCCCTAACACTGGCTACTTTGTCTTTACTTTTTAAAATATTGATAAAGTTTATAACTATCTCAAACTTTCACTCTAATCTATACCTGAAATTCCTTTTAGAAGCCCCAAGATAGGGAAGACAGAGAAGTCAGTGTGGAGCTTGCTAGCCTCATTCACGGGAACATAGTTCAGGTCTAGCACCCAGAGATAGACTAAACTCTCTGGACTTGGTACATGTGGCTTGAGCATAGATAGGATTATTCTTTCCACTTGCACTGTAGGGGTCAGGTCGTCTTCATTATGACCCTCTACTCTACTGTTTCTTCCACCCTTCCCTGCTTTTCTCATCAATGATCTTTATTTAGGTTTTTTGTGTGTTTACTCTTATAATTTTAAAACTGTTATTGCACGTCTTTTATCTCTAAAGTGTTAACTGGAGACCTTGTTCCTTCATTCAACAATATATCCTTCCCTCCTTCTCTGCCTGAGCCAGCCTCCCGCTCCTTGCATAATCAGCTTTGTGTTTTCTTTTCTTTCTCTTTTCTCTTTGATTTTGCTTCCTGTCCTTCTCTTCCGCTTTTTCTCAGCTCAGTTAACTTATATCGCCTTAGCTACACACATATCGGACAGGCCTTTTTGGAGGCATGTAAAAGCACGTGTTCCTAGCATTGCAAATACTAGTCACTTAATTATCTTTTCCTCTGGTTTTTATTCTTTCCTAAGGAGCAAGTGACATTTGCTTTTTTTCTTTTCTTATCCTTGCGCCAGATGGAGAGAACAGAAGTGAGAATGATCAAGACATTTCTGAAGAAACAGGAGCACAGGGTGTGCTCTTGGGAAGATTCCAGAAGGGTATTTCTCAGGGTCTTAAGTTTGATGAAGCCTTTGAACAAGAAGTCAGTCTAAAGCAGCAGCTGGAGAACGCCTCTGGGGCAAAACTGACTAGGAAGATACAAGGTTTCCGTCAAGTGGAAGCAGAGGGGAAGCTAACCCACGTGGGAGAGAGAAGTGAGAAATATGATTTGGGGAATAGCTTCACTGTGAGTTCCAACCATATTTCACATCAGAGACTCCCTATGGGAGACAGACCCCACAAGTGTGATGAATGTAGCAAGAGCTTTAATCGAACTTCAGACCTTATTCAGCACCAGAGAATCCACACTGGGGAAAAGCCTTATGAATGTAACGAATGTGGGAAGGCCTTCAGCCAGAGCTCACATCTTATTCAGCACCAGCGAATCCACACTGGCGAGAAACCTTACGAATGTAATGACTGCGGGAAGACCTTTAGCTGTAGCTCTGCTCTTATCCTTCATCAGAGGATCCACACTGGAGAGAAACCGTATGAATGTAATGAATGTGGGAAGACCTTTAGCTGGAGCTCCACCCTTACTCATCATCAGAGAATCCACACTGGAGAGAAGCCCTATGCTTGCAATGAGTGTGGGAAAGCCTTCAGCAGGAGCTCCACCCTTATTCATCATCAAAGAATTCACACTGGAGAGAAGCCCTATGAATGTAACGAGTGTGGGAAGGCCTTTAGCCAAAGCTCTCACCTCTATCAGCACCAGAGGATCCACACTGGAGAGAAGCCCTACGAATGTATGGAATGTGGAGGAAAGTTTACCTACAGTTCAGGCCTTATTCAGCATCAGAGAATCCACACAGGGGAAAATCCCTATGAATGTAGTGAATGTGGGAAAGCTTTCAGGTATAGCTCAGCTCTTGTTCGCCATCAGAGAATTCACACTGGAGAGAAGCCTTTGAATGTAATCAGCGTGAGCAAAAGTTCTCTCAGAGACACTGCTGAATTCAACATCCAAGAATCTACATGAAGGAGCGCCATGTACATGGTTTCCTAACTTAAGAATCTAAAGAGTTCCTGCCTTACAGCTTAGGATCCAACTCATACCTTTCACTTTAGCAAGTGGCAAATTAGGAAAACTATTCATTAGTGAGCAGCCACCTAGTAAACTTTCCCAGAGTAATACCAGCCTTAAAAAACCAGGAGGCAAGCAACACACTGAGTGGTGGGACTAGAGAGAAGCCAAGAGCTAATCACTCATTTTGGGAGCGTTTGCACTAAACCAGTTTTCGCACCAGGGGAGCCTTTCTTCCCAAGGTGGGCATGGAAGCACAGTAAAGAAAAAAGGATACCTGGGTTGGAGTTAACAGCACAATGGAAAGTTAACAGACCTATTCTTTGTTAGGAAGGAGAAGTTACATTTCAAAGACAGTCTTCCCATTTCAGCTTTGTGCTTTGATAGGAATGTGCTGTTTTGTTTCATAATGGCATTAATTATGAAAATCTAATGCTCAGATAAATATTTTATGGAGGGAAAAGGAAAAAAACCCACACCCCAGCAACACAAAGCTCAAGAAAAGTTTCCCATGATGCCCCTAGTCCTTAGGGCTTTTGGAGCAGCTAGTTTCTAACGGCAGCCTTTGCAGTATCCTAAGAGAATGCTTTGTTCTATCCTGCGATATGTCCAGGAAATTCAACTAGTCTAACTGGAAGGTAGAGTATCAGAAACACTTATTAGCATTGGTATCTGTTTCCTTTTTTTCTCCCTCACCCTCACCATGCCTGTTAGAAAAGTGATTTACTCCAAATCCCTGGTTTCAGAGAATGCTTTTAAGGCACTTAAGTAGCCTTGCCCTCTGTCAGCTATGATAACTAGCCCTGGACCTCTCCTGATTGTTCAATAGCTGAGAATGAATACAAATAAAAGAGTAAAGACCCAAAGAAAGAAGGCTCAGACCCAAGCCTGAAGCAGGGCTCTTAGCTGGGTTAGCATGGAGCGCCCTGAGTTCTTCTGGCAGGAGGGATGATTTTATTATGTTTCCCCAGTCCTGTCCGTCCTGTAGAACACATGAAGTGCACTATTAAACAAAATAGTTTTTCAGAAGGAGAGATTGAGTGTGTTTTTATGCAGGGGCCAAATTTATTTTTGGTAAAAGAGGAAACCATCACTGTAAATGGAATATTTAAAACTTAACCTTTGTAATTTCCCCCCAGACACAAATAAGGCATCCTTTCCCCTTTAAGACTCTAGTATTCCTCTTAGCGATTCGTCACACTATCTCAAGCCCTTATAAAGTCACTTTGTTAAATGACTTCTGACTTAGCTACTCAGTTAGACCAAAGCTCAGTTTTTAAGAGTACATTCCTCTACAAGAGTGCCCTTCATAAAACCAGACACAAGTTCAAGAATTCCCAGAACACCTTGTTTCTGATGGCTGCCTCCAAATTCAGGGATTCCCACTACCCTCTCAGGTGTGATAGTTTGCCAGAATGACTGACAACTCAGGAAAGCACCATTTGTTTTATTATAGCAAAAAGATTTTTTTAAAGAGCCAGCCAAAGAGCGATGCAGAAGAGTGAGGAGAAGATCTGAAATGGAAACCTCCCTCTCTTATCCTTTTCCCGTGGAGTCAGAATGCATTTACCTGTATGATGACTAGGATGCACATCAATATATGAAGAGTACTGTCAATTAGAATCTCACCCAAGCTTTGGTGTCCAGAGTTTTTATTGAAATGTTATGAGGATACAGTTGATTGAATCATTAGTTTCTTGACTGAACTCAAGTTCTTTCCTGAAGTTGGGTGAATAAGTAATGGTGGGTTTTCCGTGTCAGTGCTGAACAGAAATTGTTCAAAGTGAAACAGGCTTTAATTGGTGGGTTGGTTGAGTTTGAGCGTACCATAGTGTGAAATGATAAAATATGTCTGCATTCTGAAGATCATGTGTGCTTTGTACACAGAAAAATAAGAATGATGTGACCACAATCTTGGGGGTTAGGATTACAAAACAAAGTTTTGTAAGGTTAGCTAATCTGCTTTCTAACAGACTTCTTGGAGTGAGCCTAGCAAATGATTCTCTGAAATACATATACATTCTTCTGGGGTATGCAGTGCAAGCATTTCACCAGTACCATTCTGCTAAAATGTTTCTCCAGCAACAACATCCTTGTTTGCTGAGGGTGACTGATTTCACCAAAAAAATTGTATATGTCACAAGGCTGTACAGGACAGATGTGAAGCAAGTCTGTAAAGGAGGATAAAGTCCCAAGAGAACAGTTGTGTCTTGGAAGTAACAGCCAGAGTGCAGCTCAAAGGAGAGATGAGGATTTTTCTTGAGTTCTCTGGGCATATTACCAGGAGGGACTGGTTCCTGATGAAGGACATCATGCTTGGAAAAGTGGAGGATCAGCAAAGGAGAGAGGGACCCTCAAGACAGATCAGTCACAGAGACTGCAACAATGGGCTTAAGTACAGCAGAAATGATGTAGTTGGAAGTGGACCAGGAAGGGGTTCTAATTATAGTCCCTGAGTTGACAGCACCTAACAAAACTGAATTTCAAATACTGAGCTTTGATTCAGGTCAGGGTTAGTGTTCAGATGTGCCAAGCACTGAAGTTCTACAGGACCTCACACTTTGCTTCTACTGATCATGAGTCTCAAGATTTTTTAAATGACCATTGTAAGGTGCTTCATATGGACTAATTGGAAGTCTTGATGGTTGCTTATTGAGGTTTTTTTTAAGGTAAAAATGAGAGATTAGAAAGCTAAGTTCCAAAGGAAAGGATGAACCTTCCTCTTTGAAAGGAAATACAGAGGAAGCATCGTCAATAAGATCTCAAGACAGTACCTGTTCTACCAAGAGGAGAGTTTAGTAGTCATAGCTGAGCACCACCAGTTAAGCGTGCTTTTCACTTTGCCATAGTTTAAACACTGCTGCTGTCACCTTTTGACTGGGGTACATGAGAGGAGGTCATATTTGGAGGAACAACTTTGCATGATGAAAACAAGTGTGAAAGCAATATAAGAATTTCTGAGCAGCACAGGCCTGCATAGCAAAGGATTTAGTAGTTTGGTTATTGACATTTCATAAGACATTTGATCATGCCTAAAATCACAATAATTAAGATGATTAAATTTGTAGTATAGAATAATCAAGAGCCAATCAATACCACTCGGTAGCTTTTTGGGTTAAGATTTCCAAATCACTGGTCCAGCGTGTCCTTTTATCACAGGAATGAATGGTTTAAAAGATAGCACGGAGACTAAAGTCCACTGGCCCCTCATATTAACATCCATCTAGGTGCAATGCCTACAGAGTTAATTTTTTGTTTGGTTTTGTAAAAGTGGGATAATTGTAAAAAGATACCATAAGGAGCACCAAAACCAAACCCGAGACCCCTGACTCCTAATAACCTATACAACAGAGTTGAACACAGAACCATCTGAATTATTTTAGGGTTACTAAGGCTGCAAAGCTTCATGCAAGCAGACTGCCTCATCTTTTCCCTGTATGTTTAATCACTTAGCTTTAGGTTAGTAGCAGGATTTGTTAACCATGATGCTATAAGGATTACAGACCATGTGATTTTTGGAAAAATTGTGTGGGAAGGCACAATGGTTTGATTTGCTCAAATCCATGTTTAATATGTTACAAACACCTTATAGTCCCTTATCAACGATTTGAGTCTAGTAGAGGAGGGAGGTGCAATCTTTATGCAATCCTCATTCCTTTGCCTCTAGATAAAATACCTGAGGGAATTCTCCATGTTAAGACTAATTAGCAAATAGACCAAACATGAACATCTGTGCATCATGCACAGCAAGCTTGTCACATGGCCTGGCTTGGTATTAATGGGTTGAGTATGGTATTGAGGTTGGGCTAACAATCTAGGAGAATTCCATAGTCTAATGTGGGTGGTTCTTAGCACTGAGTTGAAATTGACTCATAGTTGACCTTCCTGTTTTCAAGGCACAGGAGGAGAAAAACCATCTTTCTCATGGAGCACCTGGTAGAAGTGAATTGCATACCTTTGGATTGGCAGCACAATTTCTTACCACCAGTCCACCAGAGCTCTCTTGTCTAATGTGTATGACTCTCTAAAAGATTAGGTTAACCACAGTATTGGGTATAAACGATAATTCAGTATAGGGAATCCTAATGAATTTGGGTTTTGGTGTTCAGATTGTGGAGAGGAATGACATATCCAACATGCAGTCAAATTACTTTCACTGGCTACTGGTTGGCATCATTTAGCAAAGATATTTTATCTCCCTGTGTTAATGGGAATGATGAAAGCAATAAAAACTTAATGACTTCATAGTGAAGAAAAACTACCCAAGAATAATTAATAGCTAAAGTTAAGTTTCTTTGATCATACGTGTAAGAAAAAAAATTTATCAATAAAACCACTGTGTAATGAGGCAATTAGGATAATTATTAGGTAAAATCCAAATGTTCTGTTAGTTGCATGGAGACAAAATTTACCATCATGAAATAAAATCTCAACAACGGAGTACTGGGAATAACGTAAGAATAGCTACAATTATAAAGCAAAGTTCAAAGATTCCAGGAAGATGCATGAAGTATTGTTTCATGGTTGGGATTAGTGGTTTTAGCTTGGACGTTTCCTGCTTTTGGCCAATGAAGTATTCTAAAGGGGTTTTCTGAACTCTAGAAAGTTGTCTGTGAAAGTGCCTTAACGTTCTCTCTACTTCAGCCAAGACCTAATTCTCTTTTAACTTGGCAGCACCTGGGTTAGCTAGCAATCCATAATGTTGTCTTTTATAGCCAGAGTCCAAGGGATCATTTAAATAATACTTTTTCCAGTCTACAGAAGGCTCTTGGTGCAAGGTTGTTGGTGGGGGCTGTTGAGTGGGAACCAACTCATAGCTGACCTTCCATTGTGTCTTTAGAGGCAGTTAACTGCACAGGAGACTGCCCATTTTCCATATGGAGCAGCTAGTGGATTTGAAACATGTGTCTTTGGGATAGTGGCTCAGGTTACTTTTTTAAAAAAACAAAAACCCC